ATGAATAGAACCATAAATGAGTCGATCACATTCATTATTATGTTTGTAAGTTTAGCTTATATGTTGAACATGTGGGTCAAGAGATCATGGATGAAGCGGAATCAGATGAACTTTTATAGTGGTGAGCTCGCTAATGAAACTTTTCACAACAACCTTTTCCGCAATTTTAAATGGAGATAATTTCTTGAAATTTATTTAGGAATTCTATTGCATTATTAGTCTTAATGTTATCCGCTATGATTAATGTTTGTCCCATTTTTGTTACGTTTTTCGTGTCTATTTTCTCGTTCTTTTTCCCCCATTTTGAGTCACTTGTGTGGTTTTAGAGTCGTTTTGTCGTTTATTTCGTGTTTCGCGTCTTTGTGAGTATTTTTGTGTTTTTCCGATTTTCTTCGTCTTTTCTTTCATTTTTTGTGTGCAGGTCGGAAGCTTTGGGAGGACAAGTTTTCAGAAAAATATGTGCTGAGATTACATAGTTAGATAGAGGGGTTCGTTAGCTACGCGTAGGAAAAAACGGAACTCAATTCCGAGTTCAAACGAGCCCAAACGAGCCCGAAAAGCAAAGTCCAGCAGGCTGCCCAGAACCTTAGCGCCGCTAAGGCACCTTAGCGGCGCTAAGGCACACAGGATAGCGGTGCTACACGTTACTGGCTCGAACGGCTAAGGCACCTTAGCGGCGCTAACCCCCCTTAGCGGCGCTAAGGCCCCCTGCAAGTCCGAGAATGATTTAAAAACCCCAAAAACTCGTTTTCTTCTCCATTCTTTCACTTCCAACTTGAAGGGGGAGGAACCCTAGGTCCGAAAATCGCCTCCCCCCTTCATTTTCCTTCTTCTTCTTCTTCTCTTCTCCTCTTCTCCATCTTTCTTCTCCATTTTTCTTTCTTTTTCATTTTAGGGATTAAGCTTGTATTTTGGATTCAACTTTCGGATTGGATTGATTGTAAGTATTCTTCATCACGTTTAATTCATGAGAATAATTATTTGGGATGAAATGCTTTCTTGTGTTGAATTCATGTTACTTAGCTAAATCTTATTGCTAGGGATAAGAGATGATTGTTCTTGTTTAACGTGCATTTGTCGGGCTCAAGATTGTTCATGCTTATGTGAGTTGAACTGATTAGGAATTGATGAATTTGTGCTTGATAGTTTGATATAATCGAAGGGTGACACTTCGATCTTGCAATTGGTAACAATTGAATATTGATTTGTCGAGTTAGGGTTTGTTAATTCCATATGATTAGTTGATTAATCACCTTCTAATTGAATTAGCGACTTTTAGAACCGAAAGGGGAGAAGTCGTAGACCTAGGCTCGCATGAGATAGATGATTTCGTAGCTGAATAATCTATGGGTTGAGATTCAAATACGTGCTTGTCGATGACCCGTCCCTTGTTACGAAAAGTTATTGGGATTGGGATAATTGGCCTGTGTTGTATGCTCGAGCTTGTTCGTCTATATTCAATCCCTTGTTACGAAAAGTTATTGGGAGCGAACCGCTAGATGTTTAAGCGAGAGTGTCAATCTCGAACCGAACAATTGACTGCCCGGCTTTGCTAGAACTTGAATTAATTATCCCCGATTCCCTAGCTTCTCCATCTTTGTTCCGTTCGCTTTTTTAGGTAGATTATTGCTTTTTATTATTTCTTAGTTAGTAATTATTCCATCCCTTATCTGATTAGAGTGTGTAGGATTTATTTTCTTTTTCTGTGCAATCAATACCAAAGTTAGATTCCGAACAGCCTTCCTCGAGAGATCGACCCGGGGAACGAATCTTTCGATTCGGTACTCGGTAAACAAATATAATTTGTTACAACAATTAACTTCATAAAATTCAAACACAACCTATTTGATAGCTCACATACCCTACGAAGAGTTGCCTCTACTTTGGAGCTCTCATCAGTAATAGTTGTTAGCGCTTCATCATTAATTAGAGTCATATCCAAATTCAATGCACCTAACTGAAAATGAATACGCTCAGACCATTCATCGATCTTCAGCCAATTGAATTTTTTTCAACCATAATACTGTACGGATAACCAAATTTTGAATGCTGCAAACTTTAATACATGCTATTTAGTTGAGCTTTGAAAGACAATTAATGAATTCAGAATCTTTTAAATTATATATTTAAATATACCTTTGGACAATATTTAAATATATAATATACTTGATTGATGACTAAGAGGAAATATCTTTAACAGAAATTATAGGTATTATGATTAATTAGCGGTTATCTTTGGACAAACACACTAATTAACCTAACTTTAATTATAATTTCTCTTTTATATATTAATCCTTGATAGAGATCATACAAACTTGAGTCAACTAGCGGCTATCTTCGGACAACACGCTAATTAACATCACTTTAAGTATAACTTCTCTTTTAAATATTAATCCTTAATAGAAATCATATAATTTTGATCAATTAGAGGTTATCTTTAGACAAATACACTAATTGACCTAGCTATAATTATAATTTCCCTTTTAATTGTCATAAATATAAACACATGGCCCACCTTTGGGTGTCCTCCTAGTTTATAAATTCAAATATATAATTTGAGAGACATTAATAAGGCATCCTTTTATATTTCAATAATCGATACTTTCATCTAATTTTTAAATATCTATACCATAAATAAACTATGCCACTTTGGTGGCTAATTAGTTTTCTTACATAGATAATATAATCAGAAAATATTTTATATGATCATGTTATGAGATATTCATATGTTTATTAATCTCTACACAGAAAACAATTGACTTTTATACGATTCATAAAATAAAAACTGAAGCAGAACTATTCGATTACTGAAAGTAATTAAACAATCAGACAGCAATCCAATTTTTCAATATTCAATAATCTGTGATGAGTATTGGCATGCATACAAAAGGCAAATAAATCACAACCAACTTTATTCACCAATCATAAATACACACCAAAGTGAGGGGACGCGCACCTTTTTTCTTTCTCCTCAATCGCAAAAAAAGCTACCGTCTACTGCAAATTCGTCGCCCCTCCTTCACCTTCAGACTCGCCGCCGCACTGCTGGAGTTGGGGCTCGTCGTGTCGGGGCTGGGGCCGTTTTTCGTCTCCTTCGATGCTTTTGGGTGATTGGGATGGAGAGCTCTCACCCCCCTGGGACCGAGTTGCTTAGCCACCGAGCCATCCCCCAGCCAAGGACGAGACCGCCGGCCGCTAGAGTTCAGGCCCAAGCCTCGAGGAGGTACAGACCTTCGTTCCGCCAAGAGTCTTGTTTTTCATTTTCTGGGTCCTTGGGTGCGGCTTGAAGTCCATTTGACCCCTCTTTCGAGCTCTTCGGTGAGGCAAGTTGGTGTTCTCACCGCGGATCCCTCTCCTTCCCCCGACGTGGATGGTTTTTTGGAGTTCAGATTTGAATCGAGAGCAGACTCTTCTCCAGATCCGTCTAGGCGGCACGAGAGGCCGCAGTTTTCGGGCTTGAGGTTCCAGTTTGTGGCTTCGTTAGATCTCTTTGCTAATGGATGTGGATCGTGTGTGGTCTCGAGTGGCTAAGCGTTGAGTCTGTTAGGTGTAGGGGAGGTCCTAGTTTATGTGTTGATTAGGTGTGTATTTTTTTATTTCTGTATTTCGTTTTGTTAGTCCAGCTTGTCTGGTTTATCTCCTTTATTGAGTTTTCTTTCCCTTTGTGGAATTTTGCTTTGGGTTTGCGGTTGCCTCCTTATTGGAGTTATACCTCTTGGATTCCTCTAGAATTTCAAGAGGGTAGGTCCAGTTATCTGTTTCCTGGTGTCAGTTGACATCTCCTCTGTACTCATTTTGAGTTTTCTAGTTATATATTTGTTTGTCGTTTGAAAAAAAAAACTATATTCACCAATCCAATTAGAACATCAATTCATGTTTGGCAAATAATCCACGAAACCAATTGTTGAATCCACTTTCGGCAATATAATTCAGCACGGCAATTTAGGACAAATTGAGAAAATAATTCCCAACCATGTAGAATTCAATTGTCCAATAAACACTTACAGTAACTTTAACATGTCCAGCAAATACAATTATTCGATCACGAATTGTTCAACAATTATTTCATGGTCATCACAATTAATTCATTCGAATCGTTCGCAGCAGGAGCAAAACTGAATTTGCAATAAAAGCCTAAATGCAATTGTAATCTTTTATATGGAAAAATAATATTCATAAACACATGCTCTGATACTACATGTAAGAAATTTGACGGGCATATTCATAACTATTAGGCGGAATTGAATAAACCCTAATTAGCATGTAATTCTATCAATTAATATAATATGGATCTTTGCATTAATTAAATTGCACATAGAACTTACAAGATTCCAACATTAGTCCTTCCCTGTTTTCTTGATCTATGATATTGATCTACGATTCTCTTTCTCGTAATCTCCAATGATATGTTTGTCTTTTCCTATGAATTGTTTCTCTCTCTTGCGTTTCTCGTCTTTCCATAAAGCCCTTGATGTCGAGAACTTTATTTTCGTATGAGCCGAGAGAGAGGGGCATGTAGTAGTATATATAGGAGGAGACCTACAATCCTATTCCTACTAACATTCCCTATGTTCTCACCTAACTTATTATCCATGTCAAACATTACAAATTGGACTTTTTAATATTAGAACATTAACTATAATCCATTAAATACATATTCACCTTAATTAAGTTTGACTATTAATTCAATTACGTCCAACTAATTATGGTCCACAATAATAAAATAATATAAAATATTATTACAATGTACTTAAGGGCTAAAGGTGGGAAAAGTGTTTAAAGGAGTTAAGAATGTTACAATCAGTTACCCAGGAAATTCAGCTGGCAGATTATTAAGATTACTGGTGTTAGTGGATCTCAAAGAAGCACTTCCAAGATGCACTAATATCAGATTTAGAAACCAGAAGGTGAGAGTGCAGTTTAAATATGAGAGGTTAGTAAAAATTTGTGCTAACTGTAGGTTGATTGGACATTTAGATAGGAATTGTGGGAGAAGGTTGATGGATATTATGAACGACAATTTGCAAGAAGGACAATTTGGAGATTGGATCAAAGCACCAGTGACTTTTACTTCTTCTCAGAACAGTCAAACCACATGGGCTGGCACAAATGGAGAGAATATTGAGTCCATAATCCACAATTCAGATGGTTCAGTAGCTAGATCAACTGAGGATGGAGAGAAAGGGGAGGATAACAGAGGTAAGTAGATATTGGCCATTGATTTGGGGGAAGAGGGAGAAGGGAGTAATAAAAGCAACTTGAAGAAAATTGCAGAATCAGTTGATGTAAGGGAGAATGCAAGTGGAATAGATAAGCAGATACCAAAATCAAAGAAGATGGTGAGGGAGCATAGTAAGGAGAAAAATACAGGGGACATGGAGATTGAAGTAGTGGGAGAAAGACATAGTCAGAGGATTATATAGGATCATGAAAAAGAAGTGTGTCTTAGCTTGAAAGGCAGGAAACAAAACACCTGGAAAAGAGAACCCCTAGAGGGGAAAATGCAGAGAACATCAAGGAGAATAGGAGAAGAGAAGATTCATTTTTCAAATAATAGAACAAGAGGGGCAAGTATGAGAATTCTTCAGAAAGAAAATGGTAATGATGAGGAAAGTAAGGTGAAAAGATTGAAGATAGATGAGGAAAGGATGGAGATGGCCAGCCTAGAGTGGCCACAGGGTGCTCAATGAATGCTCTGGTGTGGAACTGTAGAGGTTTGGGTGGACCCTCTACAGTTCCCCAGATAAAGGAGTCTATCAAGACTCATCACCCCCATATTGTGTTTTTTCTGAAACAAAAAAAAAAAAAAAATAGTTTTGTTGTAATTGTAAGTAAAACGTTGGGGTATAAAGAGAGATGTGTAATGGTGGAACCAATAGGGTTAAGTGGAGGCCTTTTGCTAATGTGGAATGATGTGATGGAAGTTAAGCAAGTTAGAAGCCATCCTTTTTGTCTGGAGGTCCAGTTTAGACTGCAGCTTGAGGAGAATTTTAAATGGGCAATATTTGTGTACATCAATACTGACAAAAGAGTAAGAGAAAACCAATGGAGGTGTCTGGTATAAATATATGAAGGAGACTGGGGCCATATGTGGTGTGTCATTGGGGATTGGAAGGACTTAAGTGGGATAGAAGAGAAAAAGGAGGAAGACAAAGAACTTTAGGCAGTGTAACAGGGTTTCAAATTTTCATTGCCAACATGAATATGCATGAAGTGAAGATGAAATGATACGCATACACTTGGGGTAATAATAGGATCAATGAGGTTTTGTGGAGGAAGTTCTAAATAAGATGTTTGTTTCTTTGGGTTAGTTACAAGAGTACCCAAATGCTCAAGTAACCAATCAGTTGAAGAGTTCTTCAGATCACTGTATGTTGGTAGTGGAAAGTAACCCAGGCTCATAGAAAAGTAAGAGAAGGTTTCATTTTGCCAAAAGGTAGTTGGAGAAAGCAGAAGTAACTGAGGTGGTTGATAAAGCTTGGAATGAGGCACTCCTATGTTCAGAGTGAAAGAGAGACTGAGGAGAAAAAGAGAGGCTATACTTATCGGAGTAAATATTTTAAAACAGAGAGGGAGAGCGAGGTGTAATGGCTGACACTAAGACTTGAGGAAATGAGAAGAGAAGCAGGAGATAGGAATTGGGAGGAGTGGGACCAGATTAAAACTGAGTTAGATCAAGCCTACTGCTCTGAGGAATTATTTTGGCAACAAAAGGCTAGACTACATTGGCTTAAAGAAGGAGACCAGAATACTCAGTTTTTCCATGCATATGTCCTCCAGAAAAGAAAACAAAATGCCATTTCAAGACTAGTGACTGACCAGAACACCATTTGTGAGACTGAAGAAGAACTGGAAGAGCATGTTGCTTGTTTTTATAAGAAGTTGTTTACAACTGTTGTTTTAAGAGGTGACATTGAATTGCTTCATAACATCCCTACCACCATAACTCCCAAGATGAATGAAGAACTGATAGCACCAGTGACTGAAGGGGAAACCAAAGCAGCACTCTTTAGCTTGAGTCTAAACAAAGCACCAGGAGCACATGTTGCTATTGTGAGTTTTTTCACTTCAGGGAGATTATTAAAATACTGGAATCACACCTTAATAACTCTCATACCTAAGTGTAAAAACCCAAAAATCTTAGTCAATTCAAATCAATCAGTTTATGTTGAGTGGTATATAAGATGAGATCTAAAATCTGGCAAATAGATTGAAAGCTTGTCTGAACTGTTGTATTGGGCAGAACCGGTTAGGCAATTTAGTGATAATGTTGTTATTGCAGAAGAGGTGTTCCACTATCTGAGTAGACATAGATCAGGTAAACACAGGTTCATGGCAATTAAACTAGACATGCTAAAGGCCTATGACAGAATTGAATGGCAATGTCTAAGCCAGACAATGTTGAGAATGGGGTTTGATTTCAAATTTGTGCAGTGGATCTTGGCCTGTGTGAACACAACATCTTTTTCTATTGTTTTGAATGGTGCAATGTGTGGTTACTTCAATGCAACAAACCCCTTGTCTCTTTATTTATTCATTATTGTATCTAAAGTGTTGTCTGCTTTAATATCCGATCAAGTGGAGAGGGGTCAACTTAGAGGAGTGTCTATGGTAAAGAATGGGCCATTGTTATCTCATTTGTTGTTTGCAGATGACACATTGATATTTTGCAAAGCTGATCCTCATCATGCTAGGGAGTTGATAGCTATGCTAACAAAGTATAAGGACTTCTCAAGACAATAAGTCCAACCTTGTCAAGTCCTCTATTTTTTTTTTTTAGTTAAAACACTTCAGAGGATCAGTAGAGAGGGGTTTGTCATGTACTCAATGGTATACAAGTCCATAGATCAACTAGATATTTGGGATTGCCTCTAGGGATTGACAGGGGAAAGAAAGAAGTTTTCAGTTATGTGGTTGACAAAGTGAGACAGAGAATTGCTAACTGGAAGAACCTATATCTCTCTACAGCAGGTAAGGAGACTTTGATTAATGTAGTACTCAATGCCTTACCAATCTCCGTGATGACATGTTTTAGATTACCTGTCGGGATTTGCAAAGAGATAGCCAGCTTGTTTGCACACTTTTGGTGGAGTAAAAGAGAGGATAGAACAAAAGGTATCCATTGGAGAAGTTGGAAATTGGTGACTACACCCAAGGAGAGAGGAGGTTTGGGTTCAAAGACATGGGGTTGTTCAATGAAGCAATGCTGGTTAAACAATTATGGAGGATCTTGACACAACCTGAATTACTAATGAGCTAGGTAATAAAGAGCAGGTATTTTCTACATACCTCTGTGTTTGAAGATAATTTACCACAAAGCTCATCTTGGCAATGGAGATGGTGGTGGAAAATTAGGGGTTCACTACAAGATGGCTTGGAGGTGGAAGTTGGAAGTGGGGTTTCAATCAGAGTGAATGACTTTAACTGGATACCTGGTGCGAGGAGAAGGAAGCCACAACATAGAAATGAAGACAACAGCAGACACATGGGAGTGCAAGATTTGATAGATGAAAGTGGAAGGCATTGATTGGAGCACACGGTGAAGGAGGTGTTTACTAAAGAAGACAACATGCCAATCCTAGGAATAACCACTCTTAACTTGAACGAGGAGGATAAGTGGAGATGGAGGTTGGCCACAGATGGAAAATTCTCTGTTTCAGCTTCATATTTGCATATGACGAGCAAAAAATTAGAGAAGTTGGACCTTGCAGAAGGAAGTGATTCAGCGGACAGAGAAAGAAGAATAAGGAAGAGAAGCTAGAAATGAAAGGTTCAAGGTAAGCTTAAACAATTTGTGTGGAAATGTTATAGTGGTATTCTGCCTGCTAATGTGACAATGAGACAGAGGGGGCTGCCAGTGGATGAGTGTGTAATTGTTGTGGGAGGAGGAGGAAACTATAGAGCATATTTTCCTTAGATGCAGAAGAGCAAATATGGTCTGGAAGCATGCACCGGTCTGCTGGGATGGAATACCAGCTGATTCTTGTCGGTTCAGATAAATCAAAATATTTATAATGTATATTGGTACAAATTATAATGATAAATCAGTCGTTGTCAAAATATCATATAAACTAGTAGATTAGAAAAAAAATTAAATTACTTATAATAGACAATATTATTAAACATAAAAAATAATATTGACGTAATAAAAAATTAATAAAATTTTCTAACTTCAAAATAATATATATTACAACCTTTTTTCTATTAAGTGTTGGTTAGAATATTTGCCAAAAATTTTTAACTTTAGCATAACCCATTTAGGAATCAAAATATTGAAACAACGTATGAGTAGGGAAGGATAGAGCAAGATATACCACGTGACTATTATTTATTTATAATATTTGAATATGTTAACTTTACATTATCATTAATTGTAATCAAGAACTTTAAAATTATAATTATTTTGTAACGAATGAAATAAAAATATAAATCATATATTAAATTATTAAATATCATAAAATGAAAGAAAAAATTAGTATTAATATTCAAAACTATTTTTATACTAATCAATATTTCATTGCTTTTATACAAGCAGTTTATAATTATTGTCCGTGCGATACACGAGCTACGTACTAGTGGTTGATAAAGGAGACAACAACATTAATATTCACACTTTATAGAGGGTTGATTTACATGCATCTTACTACAAATACAATTAAATATGATAAATAATATCTATTCTATTTCTTTCTTTCTTTTTTTCCTGGTGTGTTGCAATAATAATAATAATAAATTAAAAGAAATTTCATCTGAGATTTGAACTTAGAAAGCTTTTTGGTGATAACGGTTACATGCCGCTCCCCATAGAATAAGTGCACCGACCTTAACCTTTTTACAGCCTAGCTCTCTTCCACTCCACAGATCCTTCCAAAACCAAATACCCCATTTTTGCACCCATAAAATGTGCCCCAAAAAATTCAAATAATATAGCATCACAAAAACTACAATAATTTTTATTTTATTATTTTTTTTTAAGTTGAAGGGAAAAAAACCCACTAAAATTAGATGCCATGAAAAACTCATAACTTCATCAAAAACTCACCAACATGCTNCAAAATTATTTTTTACTTTAATAATAAGCAGATTTTTATATATTTGACAGAAAATCCAGTAACACAGCATACTTATAAAATAATAATAATAATAATAATAATAATAATAATAATAAATCTGCTTATTACAAATTCAAAAAATAAAATCTCATTAGAGTAAGTAAATGTCATCATATGCAATACATGAAGGAAATAAGGAAATTTAAATTTACATAAAAGAAACATAGATTATTAAGTAGACTTATTCGGCGTAAATATTTGAATTTGACTACACAAGTAAGACATTATTAGTTCTTATTAAAATAACAGATTACTGTTTATTAAAAAATAAAAAGTTCATGTTTTGCACATAATTTTAAAAAACTAAATTAAATACTAAAGGTACATCAACCATTCATTCATTACAGTGTGGTAATCCATTAATTAACTACAGATTATTAAGTTCTTTTTCTAGGTAGCAAATAATTAAGTTATATTATCTAATCACAATTTAAGTCACAGAAAGATAAATAAATTTACTGCTGAAATAAATTTTGAAATTATATATGATTGTTTATTTGTCGAATACTATTTTATTGTACAATTTTCGTACTTATTATAAAACATTTACTTTACTATGCATCTTAAAATATAATCTATATATATATATATATATATATATATATATAATAAGAATTACTATTTATAAAAAATAGCAAGTCAATCCTTGGTCAAAACTGATCAACATTAATTACATGTCATTTATAGTATCTTTTTAATTTTTTTTATTAAAAACGGACAGCATTAAATGTTGTCCTGAGGAGTTTGTTACTTTTTTATTTTCAAAAAAGCGGGCTGCTAATTAAATTTGGTCTATTGAATATTTGTGATGGTTTGACACGATGTGTATATCAAAAGCTGATAATGCATGAGCTGCATCAATTAAATTTGGTTATTGGTTACAAGAAGTTATTTTTAAATTTGAATAAAAATGTACGTCACGACTGCTAATTCAATTAAATATCGGCCAATTATATTCTCCAAATTTAGACCCAGATATTCGGCTCATACAATTGCTTTGCTTGCCAGCTTTTTTTTAATAAAAAAGTTACGATCGATTTAATAAAAAAAATTATGTGTTATTTTTTCTAACATTAAAAATATACTTTTGTATTTTCAAAATACCGAAAACTTTTTTTTTTTCTATAAATTGGCTAATACATATGTTTTGATTAGCAGATTTTATTTAAAAAAAAAAGGACGGCTAATTTAAGGGTAAAATATATTAAAAAAAATCATTTGTTTATTTCTTTTGAAAACATTTTTTCTAACCATCAAATCGGGCAGTTTCAATTAAAAGAATAAAGTTACGGCTGATTCAATTGTTTTGTTTGACAATTATTTATTATGAAAAATAATACACGGGTCTAATTTTGAAATGATCAAAATTTTTATGGTCTTTGTTTAAATCAGAGATTCGAAATAAGAATAATCTCCATATTTAAATTGCTTTAATTGTAAAACATGATGTATACAAGATTTAGATAGATTTATCGCATATCATCCTTTTTTTTTTGCCAGAACGATAGAGATGATATAAATAAAACCAAAGAGAGTACAGTACAACCCGATAGGCAACGCCTAACTAGAAAAAACACAAGACTGAGAGATGCTACACAAAGCATCTAGAACCTCAACAATACAAAAACAACAACCCAACTAACACAAAAGTAGTTTATGCATCTATCCACTGCCAAAGCCTAGCTAGATAGCACAACCACCTAATACAGCAGGAACACAAAGAAGCTAAAGAAATCCTCAAAACACTATAAATAGGAAAACCAGCTAAATAAACACAGAAGCTATCCAAACAATAAGGATGATGAAGAAGAAGCCATCCAATCTTTATGAGCTGCTGCAACAACAATGTGATCAGGCATGAGAGATTTCTCGAAGATCCAGAGATTCCTAGATTTCCAAAGCCACCAAAGCAAGTAGGTGGACAATTGGATTCTGTCTTGGACAACCTCCTTGTGCTTAATTGTACTCAGCTGCTGCCACCAGAGTTTAAATGAGAATGTATATTGAGATAAACCATCCCATTGCAAAGGAGCATAATCCCAAATTCTTCTGGCTCTAGCACATGTGAATAATATGTGCTCTGTTGTCTCTGAAAGTTCACCACAGATTGAGCATAGAACACTGATGTCCACTCCTCTCTTCTTCAGATTAACAGCTGATGGAAGTGTGTCTGATATCATCCTTTAAATTAATGATTTTTTTTTTTTTAAAATTTCAAAATATCAAATCATATTTTTATGGTCTTTGTTTACATAAGAGATTTAAAATATCTTAATCTCCATATTTAAATTGCTTTAATTGTAAAACGTGATGCATACAAGAATTAAATAGATTTATCACATATCTCCCATAAATTAATGATTTTTTTTTTCTAAATTTCAAAATACCAAATCATAAAGTTGCGGCTGATTTAATTATTAAACGATATTTTGCAATCATAGATTCGAGTTATCTTCAAATTCAAAATTTAAATTTGCCGATATATAGATAAATTTGGACAGATTAAATACATATGATCCNTAATAAATAAAATTTCTTCGTACTCTCAAGTCTCAAACAATGTCAATGAATCTCCGCCCTCCTTCCTTCCGTTCCCTCGCCGCCGCCTCCTCCGCCGCCATGTATTCTCGTCCCCATGTAATCCCGCATCTTTCAAGCTCTATCGCATTCAGAACAGCATACTATACATAATATCGCTTTTGTAATTTCTTGTATGTGTGTCGACCCAATTGAATAATTTCAGTTTCAGTCTGGAAATTCCCCAATACTACAGTAAATTCTTCAGTGTCTACATTTTTTATTCCGGTGCCGAGTTAAATTTTGCAATGATGTTATTACAGTTCACGGGAGCACGCCCTAGAGGAAGGAGAACCTACTCCGACAGACCCTCAGGCCCTGCAGGCGGTGACCACGCGGAGTCGGTCTCCGGCGATAACCATTTCACTGCAGTAAGTGAGACCAATCGCGGATTCCGACATAGCTACAATGCTGTACCCCCGCCACCTCAGTTTGCAGCCGGTCAGCAGTTTCACGGACCCGGTCCGGAGTCCAACCGGACTTCCGCACCTGTTTTCCAGCAGCGTCCGGTGGCCCAGGGCCCGTACAGGCACCCACGGCCCATGAATCCTGCTTTTGGTAATCATCATCAGTTCACACCACAGCAGGTGCCTCAACAGTATAGGCCGAGACCCTCGAGGCCTCCAGACTATCGAGACTGGGAGTATGGGAAACGGGGTCTGCCTTCTCATTCCGGTAGCTCCTAATCCATACAAACTTAAGTTAATTGAGGAATTATTTTGGGATTCGTTGTTTATTGTGTGTATGTGTTGGATAGATTAGCATTTCTTGTTACCCATTTCTATCTGTGGATTTTGAGTAATTTGGTTTACACATTTGTTCATGATAGTGCATCTGTAAGTCGATATTTTGTTATGTCGCTGTTAATTCTGCCATAGCTGCCCTGTACTTTGTTTAGAATAACCTTGTTTTTGCTTGCTATCTGGTCCAGGGCGGTTTACTGTTCTCTCGTATAACATACTGGCTGACTACTTGGCCAACGAGCACTATCACAAACTTTACTTTCATATTCCCCGCTATATCATGGACTGGAATTGGCGCAAGAGAAATATATGTTTCGAGCTTGGGTTGTGGTCAGCTGACATTTTGTGTCTTCAGGTTACCTGTCTCATGCTTTGTTTTAGATAGTGTCTCAACCCTTTGTACAACTGACATAAAGTTATTTTCAATATAAATATCTTCGGAAATTTCGAAGATAGGATAAAGCATTATGTTGCCCTAATGAATTTGCTTATCCCCTAAGAGATGCATCAGAATCACATATGTAGTCCAGCTTTTCTTTATCCTTATCATTCTTTGTCTGCCAGTGGAATACAGAAGCTTCATTTTCAAATTTCATAAATCGTCTATTATTCCTATGTTGCTTTGATAATAGTGAATATTTAATTTTGTAAATCCTAAATTTGGGACATTGTGTATTACGTATGGTGAGTAAACTGTAATTTCAAACTACATTACTTTTGCTGAGTTTTCTTGCAGACTAGGATTTCAAAGTGAACTAAGTGAAGTTAATCAAAGCCAGGTTGCAGATGATTACCCATTATTTACAAAATTAGAAATACTGTAAACTTTGCAATCATAAGTCGCCATGTTTACTAGGGCGATCTGTTTGTGTTAGTTTTAAGATCCCCTTGATCTTTGTCTCAATTCTTTAACTTCCTCTTTTGCTCTAAGTTTCTTTTTGAGAAACAGATTTGTTTCTCTCAGAACTTACTTTTATTATCCCCATTCTAATTTATTTTTTCGTTTGAAATCAGGAGGTTGATAGATTTCAAGACTTCGAGGCAGAACTAAGGAACCGTGGTTATGCTGGCATTTGGAAGGTTACTAAGAAAATGCTTAGTTAATTTCATGTTATCATTTCAAATCATAGGTTTCCCAATTCGATGCACGAATTCATGCAGCTTTTCATTTTGGCCTGTCTCTGTGCTTGAATTACTCTTCAGATCATCGACATTAAAATAGTTGAACTAGCGTAATCAATCTCTGGAATCCAAAATAAGATAACTTGTCAGTTTGTTTGCATGTGCGAGAAATCAAATTCATATTAATTATATTGGAGTGATGTTCTGATGGTTTTTGTAATTCAACGGCAAGCAATATGAATAGAAATTAATTTTATAAGGAACTAACCAAAAGCATCTTTTGTAGGTTAGCTTGCAAATAGTAATTAGTTCTGATTAAGTCAATGTGGAATGTATATCACCTAGCAAATACTTACCTTTCATTAAGCACACTGTGATAGCTGCTCCTGCTTGGAAAACTTATTTTGTTTCAAGTTTCTAACCCACATCGATAGGAGTTTGCAGTTCCAAGGATGAGAACTGCAGCAGGATAGTTTAAAGAAATAGAAAAATTTCAAAATCCTTTGGTTTGACATCATGCTGTTTCAGTCTTTTCACCGGATGCATATCGAGATTCATTTCCGTTATATCCTTTATCGTTCAAAATTTCGCAGGAAATAAAAACAGTGATTCTAGAGTTGCAAATCAATTATGTTTATTTGAGGTTATAATACATCAACATTGGTTGATAATTATGATTCTCATTTTAGATGCGAACTGGTGATCCTGCTGATGGTTGTGCTATATTTTGGCGTTTTTTAAGGTATGAACCACCATTTTACTGCAGACACTCAAAATAGATGGAAGTCATGATCTATGTCATTCCTCACGTTTGTTACACGTTGAGGATGAGACTCTATCCTGGAGGAACCATATGAAATATATGTGTATGTAATTAATCTAGTGATTGTCTTTTAGATTCAAGTTGCTGCATGAAGAATCCATTGAATATAATAAGCTTGGCCTTCGGGATAATGTTGCCCAGATATGCGTGTTTGAGGTACATCTGGCTTCAGTCAGAAGATTTGTCAGTAGTCATTAGTTAAGATTGGCGAGTATATATGATGTAGATGATGTAATTGGTATTGAGTAGTGTATTCTTGCTGAACAGTCTCTTAGCGGACAGAATAATATCAACGCAGCACCAACCCTGTCTGCAAGGCAAGATAAATTTCTTCCATAACTTGATCTTAATATAGTTTTTCTATGGTCACTTTTTTCTCCCAATTTGTCTGTCGGTGTGAATGTGTATATTTCATGCTGAAGATAGAAAATATGTTGCAGTGGCAGCTCAGCAAGCCCTAACAGAGTTGTTATTTGCAACATTCATGTGCTTTTCAATCCCAAAAGGGGAGATGTAAAACTTGGACAGGTATGTATTTTCTATTATTGGTACTGGTTTATCATTGATATCTCAGATGATCACCCTAAGTTTCCTTAGAAGAAACATGATGCTTCGGGTTGGTTTACATATAAGCAAGGTTCTAAAAGGCGCTAGGCAGCGGATTAGATGGGGCCTATGTGGAATCGTAAATATGCCAATAAATTTATTTGTATTTAAAAATCATGCATAACTTACAATCTATATTTTATAAAATATACTAATTAGTATGGTTAGATACAAAGATTTTTAAAAATATTATATACTTTCAATTATTATATTAAATTTAGATAATTATTATTATTTTTATTTTCTAATTATTGTACATTTCATGTATAAAAATCAAACTATTTTATTATATTTGAATATATATATATATATATATATTTAATAAAATAGATATAGGTGCCTAGACCTAGATAATCAGTGTAGGTGGGTCTGCTTCGCAACCCTGCGGACCGCCTTAGCTGCGCCTAGGCGTCTTATTGTCCGAGCGCCTAGGCGCCACCTAGGCAGCTCCTAGACGGCTAGACCGACTTTTAGTACGGCGCATATAAGATATCAAGTTTCCACCATGAATGCAATATCATCGGTTTGATTCTCCTTTGATTCCTTGGCCCATTTGTCGAATGATGCTCCCACCTTGGTAGGTTCAACAAGTGTTGGTCAATACAATGACGGTGTATTTTTCTCCTTCATCATGCAGTCAACTTTATTTATCTAGATTAAGTTCAACTTATCGTGATTTTCATGCATCCATCTGTTCGTTGTCTCCCTTTGCAATTGTTTGCTGACGTGTGAAGTGCACGTTACAATTTAGTATTTTCATATTTCTTGGACTTGAATACTTGATTTTGGGTCTGTCAGATTAGGGTGCTTCTAGAGAGGGCGCACGCTGTTTCTAAGCTTTGGGGTGATGCTCCAATAGTTATCTGTGGAGACTTCAACTGCACCCCTAAGGTTTTTTCTTGTCTCTACAATGTCATATTATCTATGACTATGTTATTGCGTATTGTGCTCTTGAAGTTTTGGATCGAATCTGACTCTTCATTGGTTTCTTCCTGAATAATTATGATGCCACATGCACGGTCTTGTTTATCAGAGTCCCTTGTACAATTTCATCTCAGAACAAAAGGTATTTGGCTGCTTCAAAATTTATTTACTCTTTTTTTCTCTTCATATCATTTTTCTTAAGCTATCTGTAACTGGTACAGCTTAAGTACTCATAGCCGTTTCTCTATCCTACTGCAGCTGGATATTTCAAAGTTGCCTCGTGATCAGGTCTCTGGGCAGGCTACGGCAGAAATACGCCCACAGAGGCCTCCTCCTGATTTTAGGTATGTCTGTTTGCGGGTTACACTTTTTTTCCCTGACTAGATTTTGTATTGTAATCGACTGTCACTTTAGGTTGAGACACTTATTTCTTAATCCAGGACACAAGTTGCAGACATTGCTTCCTCTCAAGCTTCTGTAGTTAATAGTGCAAATATAGAGCAAAGGGACTTGCCTATAGATGCACAGAATTCAGCCTCTCCTCAAAATTCTGCAAATGCCTCTTCCACGAGGATGCCAGAAAACTATTCAAGTGATATTAGTAATACATCTGACCCTACATCAACCTCTAACTCGAGTGTGTCTCAACTTTCCCTTGATCATACACCATCAATTCAAGAAGTAGCAAACGAGTCTCCTGATAAAATATCTCTTGATTCTCTTGATCATGCCCCATCAAATCAAGAAGTAGCAAACGAGTCTCCTGATAAAACATCTCCTGATTCTCTTGATCATGCCCCATCAAATCAAGAAGTAGCAAACGAGTCTCCTGATAAAACATCTCCTGATTCTCTTGATCATGCCCCATCAAATCAAGAAGTAGCAAACGAGTCTCCTGATAAAATATCTCCTGATTCTCTTGATCATGCCCCATCAAATCAGGAAGTTGCATTGTCTGCTTCATGCGAACCCACAGGCGCAGATTTATTTCTGGACGAGAAACTTGATCTTTTGTCACTCAATGAATTTGCTGATGGGGCTATGGATAAGCCGGGTGAAAATTGTGATTCATTTATTTCCGAACTACATGGCCAATGGGACTCACATTCTCTTGAAGATCAGGTTCTCGATGGCAACCTTCATGTTGAACATGAGATTATGGCCGATGTTTGGAATAGTTCGTCTGCTTATACATCGGCTTGGACTCCGGCAGAGATACAAACTGCGACGGGCAGTGTGGACGATATGGTTGTGGAACACCCCTTGAAGTTGATGAGTGCGTATGCAGAAGTTGAGGTTTGAGTAACAAACTGTGGCTCCTAATTTATTTAATTAAAAAGGAATAAAATAATAAAACTAGAAATATCATTTATAATTTTCTGTAGAAAAGCGGTTTATTTTTCAATGGCTGAAGANCTCATCAGGGATAAGAGATTCGAGTGGTGAACCTTTCATCACGAGCCACCATAGACGTTTCTCAGGCACAGTTGATTATATATGGTCAGTCATAATCTCGTAGAAACATCTTTAGGTAGAACTTTTGTTGCATGTAATTACTTTTGTTTTTTGTCATAGTTAAGATACGAATGCAGAATAACTTGTTTCAACCAAATTCTTGGTTCTCCCACTGAGGTGGTAATGGGAACTTACTCTTCAAAAACATTATTCTTCTCTCTGTTTGCGAGAGAAGTGACAGGACACGTGATTAGAAATGCCTAATTGACCATTCCATAAAATTATATATTGTTTTGATTCCTCAATATTCACTCAATCCTTGTTGTGTACGGTAAATACTCATTCCAACTGGGGACCTGGAGTTCGTAATATAAATTATTCAGGAAAAGTCTTGCATCTACTTTCATTTATTTGCTTGTTCTTTTCTCGGTCGGGAAAACTATCAAAAGGGCCCAAACAATTTAAACCCTTTGATCTGCAGGCACACAGAAGGGCTGCAAACTCTAAAGATTCTTGCTCCAATTCCGAAACATGTCTTGCAGCAAACTCGGGGATACCCCACAAAGGTATTGTCATGTGAAATTGCTATGGTGAATTCTCTCATTATTTTCAGAAATTTACTTCTTAACCAGTTCCTTTAATTATCTGTACCTGATGCTTATGTCTTCCTTTTTAACGGTTTTAGTCGGGATTTTTTTTTTTTTTTTTTTTTTTTTTTTTTTTTTTTTGCTTCTCAGAAATGGGGAAGTGATCACTTAGCACTGGTTTCTGAATTTGCCTTCACTAAGGATAGCATGTCCTCTGAAAATGCCGGCTAGTAATGCTTTAAGAGTCTTGCACAATTCACACATTGCCATTTGACAGGCAAGCTGTATGATCTCTTGCAACTTAGTGGACTGCATTTTCTTATTATATTTTATCTTGTATTGTTTCATTCATTTTCAGTGATAATTACCAAATCACCAGTAGGGTGTAGCTTAATTATGTTAAGTCCAGTTTGTTGAAGTTATGAATACGCCTCAGAATATTATAAGCTGCCCTTAGGATATGTCATGCATTGCCAAAGTTCCTTACAGAAACAAAAATCAAGTATTCATTATGCAATTTTTGAAAGGTCCTGAGTCCTTTTTTTCACCCTTTTCCTTTATCCCTTTTCCATTTTTCCTTTTTGGGTAGGCTAAACCTCAAGAGTAGTCTCTGCATTTAACCAAAATTAGGCTTTGCCGAGTGTTATGATTAGTTATTAGTTAGTCATAGTGATCATAAAGTGCTTCAAACTAGCATCCTTGTTAAATTAGTCAGTTTCTGTTTAAAATAAACTTTTGCTTGAAAAATAAATAAACTGGAAAATTAATTGTTGGATAGATTGTGATTGGTGAGTGCTGGGGGGATCTGTACTCGATTTGTATGAGAAATTATTCACATCACTTGCCATAGCAGCAGATCTGACACTCCAAGGATTCCAGAATTATCATCTTTGATTTATAATATCCGTATCATTTGTTCAGATATCATATATGATGATGTATAAATAATTTAAAGTCGGGCTTTTATTTTTAGATATAGATATGAACATCACTATACTATTTACTACTTTGATCGCAAATGTTCTAATTACTGAAAATCACAATTACTTCATATATTAATTTTAGTATATTATCTTTTATAAAATAATTATATATTATGATTAATAAAGTAATTTGGTCCCTAGGAGTATATTATATCATATCATATGAAATTGCATACTTGGATCATTTATGCATTATGATTGTATGTAATGTTCTGTTGTCTATCAGGAATTGGCTTGATTCTGGGTTGTATTTATTGAGGTCAGAAAATGAGGCAGCAAAGGAATGTGAGTATGTGACCACAATTGCAGTTGGATATATATATTTTTTTGTTGACATGAATGTGAGAAAAGAAACTCGCATGTGACTGATGCCTCGGTAAGGGGGTTGTCGTTTATCCACCAAGATATACATTATTCGATCCATTTTAATATAGTTTGGTTCAGAAAAGCCTAAGATCTCATTGTTCTATTTTAACAATAATGTTAATTGTTTATGAATATATGTAATGTCGCCATTTTGCCATCTNGTTTTATCATTAGTAGTTCTAAATGTTTTCCATATCGTAATAGGCTGAGTGTTATTAAAAAAAAGATAATAATATAGTGGGGACAGTTTGGTTATGATAAGTGGGGGATGGCGTGGGGAATGATAAGGGAAGTACAACTCAATTTATATCCTTGGAAACCAAGGAGATGCTAATGGTCTATAATCCGTTGCTAATTTTACCTCATGATAATTTAGAATCAACTATCGCCCACTTACTAATTGTGTTAGACGCTCGCTAAGCTTAATCAAGATTGACCTTATATCGCGCTAATAATCGGGCTAGGTGTTAGGTGTCTACGCAGCCTTCTAGGCGCTTGGGTAATTAAGCGCCGTCTGGGTTAGGCAGCGACTAAGGGTTTGATGGAAACAAATTTATTAGCATTTGAGTTGATTTATTTGGTTAATCGAATTTAATTTGGTTAGTTTTCGTGAAATTTTGAGTTTGTATTAAAATAATATTTAAAATAAATATAATTAAAGTTGAAGTAAGTGAACGGTAATAGCGTAGGTTCCAACGACTATATTAATAGTTATTTTCTTTGGAGATTTATAGGTGAGCTAATAGGCGAAGGCTGCATGCATCGCTTGCTCAGTAATAGTAAGAGTTGTGACGAGAGCTACAACATCGACCGTACTTCCTCTCCTTGACGTCTTCGTACCCTTTGGTCGAGATTCTTTAAAATCTCCTCTCTCGTTGGCTAAGCTACTTCGTGCCTTTTTTTTGTTTTTTCTCATTTTGGGGTTTCGAGTTTGGCATACAATGCAACTATAAGATCGCAAAGCGTCAGAGTCGATTCACTAAGTGGATTACCCAGTTCAAACTCTTTATCCTCCAGTGAAGATCCCTTAACTAATATAATAGAGGGTCCCTATCTGATGCAAATGTAAGAGAAAGATGATTGGAGGTGATGGTTAATTAAATTATGTGAGTGGAAGAATACTAAATTAAGGTTGATATGATGTGTAAAAATGATTGATTGATATTATTTAATTATATTGAGGATAGTGAGATTGAGTTAAAGTTTAAATAGATTTTGTAACACCCACTTATTTATTTAAAGGAAAACATGGATTTTAGGCATAATTTAAACTTTTTGAAAAACATTTTCCAAAATATACTCTACGGACATTACTAAAAAACCCAACTTTCTTTCAAAACATTTCAACATAAATAATCATTCAAAACATCCCAAGTCTGAATACTCAAAACATAGTTCAAAAACTAAAATACTCCAAACCAAACATAAGTTTCAAAAGAGTCGCGGAAACATAAAAATATAAAAGCGATGATCACTCTTGTCTTCCCGTGTCCATTGCCAGCTCGATCAACCTGAAAAACCAAAGGGTGAGCAATCCTCCAGCCAGTGGTAAAATTCATACCATGCATCGATTCAGTATAAGCACAGATAGTATATTAATCATATGAATATGAAACTCATTGTCATATATATTGTTCTTGCTTCACGGCACATCACCGGCTTCAAGCCTCCAAGTAAAAACTACCCAGCTCCAGGTAAATTAAAACCTGCTGTTGCTAATATACACCGTTAACCTAGTTCATGAACTGTTTGATCTTGAATATTGACACTTAGTCTCATAATGACACATAGTCTCCTTCTGACACATAGTCTCACACTTCACAGTGCACATAGCATTTCAATAGAATATTCAACCTACCGACCCACAATCACATACATATAAAAACTATACTACCACATGTTTATACAGAATAAACCATAGTATAGAACTCCCACCTAATACTCGCAGATGGATGATGAAAATGTAGATGATAAGTAGCTGATGTCACTTAGCGTAGCTCTAGAGTCTCGACTGCTCGAAAATCCACATTTTTAGCACAAAGCTTCTATAAATAACTCATCTCAAATTCTTGGAACTAAATAATTTGCAACTTAATCAAAATAAATTTGATGAGGTACTTTTATACAGTTTGTGGAATTTAGGAACTCTCGTTTAATGGTGAAAAGACTCGGCATTTTTCAAAATTCTAAAATATCACTCCACATGAAAAATGGTTCAAAACGGCTCAAAAATATCTCAAGGGTCAAGGTTTGTCTCGGAGACCTCGTGTCTGGCCGTTGTCTTGAGTCTGATCGCACGGGCGCTAGCAACCCGGCTGTGGCTCGGCCCTGCACACCAGGTCGCGGAAGACTTCGACGCGAGACACATAGCTGTGCCTCCTGACGCTGAGCAGTGCGCCTGGCCTCGTGCTCGAGTGCTGGGAGACGGGTGACTGCTGCGGTTTGCAGAGCCCTAGAACTCACGTTGTCCAGGGAGTTTCGCACGCTTGGGACGCTAGGGAGACGCTCGCGCAAGAGTCTGCAGCATCTGCGGCACAACTCGGTGTCGACCTGCTGCTCTAGGCACTAGGGTGACACGCGGCATGCCCGCGACCCATGGCCTGCCACTGGACGCGGCTCGCCAGCGTCCGACACCTTGGGCGCGTGCAACCGCGAGGCCTGGGGCTGTGGTCCGGTTGCACCCGCATACTCGCAGCTTCTCGGCACGGCGTCTGAACCAGCGAATGCGGCACGACTGCTCAGTCCAACCGTGGTTCGTGGCTCGGTGTTCAAGGGTCATGAAGGTTTCAAAAACGATTCTTTGCCAACATTTTTCCAAGGTTTACCAAGGCATAAAACAAAGATTCATGACATAAATTTCAAGGCTCCCAACCAGTATAATTTTTCATAAAAATCCCAAAAATAAGGCATGAAGTATTTATAAATTTCAAGGCCAACTATAAAGCTTCAACATCAACATTTTTCTAAAATTTTTCCCAATAAATCAAAGCATTAGCAAGGCTTCGAGAATTCAAATTTTTTCAACAAATTTTATGAAAAATGAAGGCTTATAAGAGAGAGTTCCATCCACCACAAAAAATTTTCCATATAATACCAAAATTTCTTCTCCAAAATATCTAAGCAAAATTCTTCACATAGAATTTCACAAAGGCTTAGAATTTTATCGTGCTTCAGGATTAGTCTACAAGCACGGTTGAATTGAACACGGAACGAAAATTGAACAAGGCCTCGATTAGCTCTCGGTTTTTCTTGCTCACGATCTCTCTCGGACAGGGCATCTCTCACGGCTGATAGCGGACAAGGCTCGGTGCAAAATTACGATGTGGTGCTTGCTCCTTGCGCTCGAACTCTGGTAGCAACGGCTCACGGCGTCTTCTGGGCGACTGGTCATGTGTCCTCGACGACTGACGTGCATCTTGGCACAAAAGGTTCAGCAGCTCTCGACAATGGCTGTTGGTGCTTGGCTCGTGCGCGACGCCGTTGTCACCTTGGCCGTTGGGAAGAATTTTGAAAGACAAGGTGTTTTGGCTGAGAGAAGTTTATGAAAAGTAGAGAAATTCTAAAATTGCTAAGTACAAAATGACCTCTTGCATGCTCAATGATCGGCTTCTATGAGGATAGTAAGAGGGGAACTGAAAGACAGTTAATCCCATTAATCAAAGGATTAAAAATCCAAGGGAGTTACAAAATGCCTTTTTGAATTTGAGTTGGCTTGTCCTTAAGAAATTGGCTGGTTGCACAAGAGTATCAAAGAGAATATTGGCTTGATTAAACCATCACTCATGGAATTAATTGTGTGGTTTACAATGCCTTTGAAAAAAAATGAAAAACATCTCGACTCATAAGAACCACTTGACTGAAACTTTTCATCCAATTGCCAAGGAACCGTTACCAATTTTATTTGCTCAAAACTTACTCTTCACACCAAAATGGCCGAGAATTGAACATGAGGAGAGGTTGGGTAATAACACCCATGGAGGTTATAAAGATTATTCGCACTAAGACTTATTTACCAAAACAAGTTTGATCAAAAAATTCAGATAATCCAACGATCGATTTTGAATCAAGATATCCCACGAATATCAGTTGACAAAGAGATAATAGAGTTAAAATCATAATAAGTAGATGTGCACATCTACTATAAGTAATTTAGCTCAAAAGCTTGATCAAAAATTAATCGAGCTTAATAAAAGCATAAAGCCATTCACCACAATGAATAAAATAAAGTCGACTCTTATTATTCGAACGGGGCACTACAATCTACCCTCCTAAAAAGATTTACGTCATCGAAAAATACAAAAGTACCAAAGTACTAGAATATACAAAGATACAAGGTACAAAGGACACTCAAAATACAAAGTTCAGATACTTAATCCGAAAGTCGACCTCGCTTTCCTAAATCGCCCTGGCTTCGCCATGTCGGCTCCACTGTACTTTGACAAGTGTAATCTCCCAATTCCTTAACTTATGGACCTTTCGATCCCAAATGGCCATCGGTACCTTCTCATAAGTCAGATTGTGCCCGACCTGAAGCTTGTCAAAGTTCACCACATGCCCGGGATCATGGACATATCTCCTCATCACCGAGACATGAAACTTGTCGTGCACTCTCCAAAGCTCCGGTGGTAAAGCCAACCGATAGGCTAAGTCGCCGACTCGGTCGAGAATCTCAAAAGGACCAATGTAATGCGACTGAAGTTTTCATCTCTTCCCGAATCGAATCACACCCTTCATTGGTGCGACCTTTAGGAAGACCTTATCACCTACCTTGAACTGTAGGTCTTTCCTCCGCTGATCGGCGTAGGACTTCGCCGGTCCTGAGCTGCCTTGATCCTTGCTCGGATCTCATCGATCTGCTCCACGGTCTTCTTAATAATATCCGCCCCAAGAACCTTCCTCTCGTCGATCTCGTCCCAGTACAAAGGGGTCCTACTCCTCTTCCCGTACAAAGATTTGTACGGTGCCATCGGGATCGTCGCCTGATAACTATTGTTATATGCAGACTCAACCAATGGCAAAGAATTCTCCCACGTGGCACTTCGATCAAGCACACAAGACCTCGACAGGTCCTCCAGTCTCTTGATCGTACGCTCCGACTGCCCATCAGTTTGGGGATGATATGCATTGCTAAACTTCAACCTCGTCCCCATGGTTCGCTGCAAACTGTTCCAAAACTGCGAAGTGAACCGTGCATCTCGGTCTGATACGATCAACACGGGCACCTCATGGAGTCGGACTATCTCTCTGATGTACAGTTGGGCATACTCCTCCATCTTCATAGTCCGCACAGGTAGAAAATGAGCAGACTTGCTCAAATGATACACCATTACCCATATGGCATCTTTCCCCGTTCTCGACTTCGATAGGCCCACCACGAAGTCCATCGTGATATCCACCCACTTCCACTCAAGGATGTCGAGTAGACGAAGCAAACCAAATGGTATTTGGTGCTCGGCCTTCACCTGTTGGCACACTAAGCGGCGATCCACATACTTCGCTACATCACGCTTCAGTTCTCTCCACCAGAAGGACCTTTTCAAATCTTGGTACATTTTCGTACTCCCCGAATGAACGGTGTACGGTGCACTGTGTGCCTCCTCTAATGTCTCTCTTCGCAATTCGAACACCTTCAGAACACATAGCCTCTGCTCGAAAACTAATGCTTCGTCCGATGCCACTGCAAAACCACCAATCTTGCTGGCTTGAGACAACTCTTGCATCCGATATTCGACTGTTTGGCTACTATTCTCTCTCGTATAGTCGTTCCCAAACCAATGATGCCAAAACACCACTAGCGCCAGAAGTCGACTCCACTACCTCAATCTCCATCCGAGCAAAATCCCGAACTAACTGCTTCTGCTGCGTGAGCATACAGGCCAACTCGCCACGACCCTTCCAACTAAGAGCGTCGGCGGCCACGTTAGCTTTTCCAGAATGGTAGCTAATCGTGCAATCATAGTCCTTGATGAGTTCCAACCTCCTCCTTTGCCTCATGTTCAGCTCCTTCTGCATGAACAAGTATTTCAGATTCTTGTGATCTGTAAAGATTTCAAATTTACCCCCATAGAGATAATGCCTCCAAATCTTCAACGCATGAACCACAACTGCTAACTCCAAGTCATGCGTCGGATAATTCATCTCATGAGGCTTCAACTGCCTTGACGCATAGGCTACAACTTTCCCATGCTGCATCAACACACAACCTAAACCTTAATTTGAAGCATCACTATAAATGGTGAACTCCAAAGTAGGATCAGGTATAGTTCAAAAGAGGTGCCGAAGTCAGTCTCTTCTTCAACTCTAAGAAACTAGCCTCGCATGGGGAACTCCACACAAACTTAGCCGTCTTCTTCGTCAGTTGAGCCAATGGTTGGGCTACCTTTGAAAAACCCTCGATAAACCTCCAATAATAACCAGCTAGTCCCAGAAAGCTGTGAATCTCACTTGCATTCTTCGGAACTTCCCAGTTACTCACCGCTTCTACCTTGCCCAGATCTACCTCAATCCCTTTGGCGGTGACAATGTGTCCAAGGAAGGAAACTCGATCCAACCAAAACTACACTTGGAAAATTTTGCATACAACTTCTCCTTACGCTATGTCTCCATCACAACTCTCAAATGCTCCTTGTGCTGCTCAACATCTCTCGAATAAACCAAAATGTCATCAATGAACATGATAACAAATTGGTCTAAGTATGGATGGAAGACTCAGTTCATAAGATCCATAAATAATGCAGGTGCATTACTCAAACCAAACGACATCACTACGAATTTGTAGTGACCGTATAGAGTTCTGAGCGCTGTCTTCGACACATCGAGCTCCTTCATCTTCAACTACTGGTAGCTAGATCTCAGGTCGATCTTTGAGAACACACTAGCTCCCCTTAGTTGATCGAACAGATCCTCAATCCTAGGCAAAGGATATTTATTCATCACAGTCAAACAGTTCAACTCCCGATAATCGATACACATCCTCATCGACCCATCCTTCTTCTTCACGAAGAGCACTGGCGCACCCCACGGTGAAACACTCGGTTGGATGAAACTGAGATTCAGCAGTTTCTGAATTTGAGTCTTCAGTTCCCGCAACTCCTTCGTGCCATACCATACGACACCTTTGATACTGGACCCACTCCCAAGTCAATGGTAAACTCAACTTGTCTATCCGGTGGTCCCTCTGGTAACTGTTCAAGAAATACGTCTACATACTCTCGCACAATCGACACATCCTCCGGTGTCGAATTCTTCTTTTCACTTCCCACAATATTCACCAAGTAACCTTGGCTAACCTCCCTTTTCAAGCTCTTCATCGCTCTCAATGTGGAAATCACCTTCAGCACTGCTCTTGCTCTCGCCCCATAAAATGTGATCTTCTCGTCTCCTCCTAGATGAAGTGTCACCTCACGATCATGGCATCGGATGTCCCTCGGTAACTGCTCAGGCAGTCCATCCTGAGAATAACGTCGAAATCCTTCATGTTGATCATGTAGGCGTCTGCCGTCAAGTTCTTTATACCTATGCTAATGTTCAGATTTTTCACAAGAGAATCGGTGACTATCGTCTTTCCCAAGGCTAAGCTAGCCTCAAGAGCATCGACAGTACTAATTTCCTTGATCCCAGTGGCCTTCAAACAACTTGAAGAGATGAAACAGTGGGTCGCTCCCGTATCACACAATGCGAACATATATATATATATATATATATATATATATATATATATATATTTTGTACATGCAACATGCAAGACATGGTACCATGGTTCATCTCAACCTCGGTCTGCGTCACTGAAAACACACGATCTCTGCCTTCATCTCCTTAGTTTGGGGCCTGCTGAGGCTGCCCTTGATCACGCTCCAGACAATCTCTGATGAAATGGTCTGACTGCTTGCATTTTATAGCATAGACGCGGACCTGCCTGGATTTCCATGCAAACTCCTCTATGAAATTTTCCACAGTTGCCACACTGTGGAGGTCCACCTTGCACCTTTCGCACCAGCTGAACGTTCTGTGCAGGAGGTCTGTTGCCATGTCTGTCTGTGCCTCCATGCTTATTTGCTTATTTTCTTCTGGTCATGGCCATTCCACTTCCTCTTTCCACCGTCCCAGATGAATGGAGAGGTTAGATGCAGAAGGAGGGGATAAAGACTGGATTGATAGGGAAAATTGCAGAAACATGTTTAGTCTAGCTTACGAGGAGGAAGAAGTATTCTGGAGACAAAAATCCAGAATTACTTGGCTCCGAGAATGAGACAACAATCCTAGGTTTTTCCAAGCCTCTGTCAAACAGAGAAGGAAAGTTTACTCCCTTGATGGATTGCTCAAGAGTGATGGCAGCAAATGTGAGACCAATGAAGAAGTAGTGAATTAGAGAGGTATTTTGCTTTGATTTTCAAGACACCCAACCCTACTGATCAGAGATGCAACCTTGAAAGGATTCCTACTTCAGTGAGCAAGGAGATGAATAAATAACTAACCAAGCAAGTGGGTGATGAGAAAATTCATGATGCTCTCATGGGAATGGAACAATGCAGAGCTCATGGGGTTGGTGCATTGACTGCAATTTTCTTCCAGAAAATCTTGGTCAGTTGTTAAATTTCACTATTGTTTAGCTGTTAGGAACTTTTTCCTTTGTAGCAGAATGCCAAGAATTTAAATCACACAGTTCTGGCTCTTATCCGTAAAAAGCTTAATCCTATTTGTGTGGCAGACTACAGACAAATTAGCCTTTGTTCTGTTATGTATAAGGTCATTGCTATAATTGTTGCTAACAGAGTTAAAATTGTGTTGCCTAGCTGCATTTTCCCTTGTCAAGTTGTTTTCATACATGATACACAAATTCTTGACAATGTAGTGATTGCTAATGAGTGCATCCATTTACTTAATAGCAAAAGAAAAGGTAAACAGAACTTCATGGCAATAAAATTGGACATGGCAAAGGCATATGACAGGGTAGAGTGTCTTTTTTTGCTAGAGTTTGTAGGAAGTTGGATTTTTGTTTTAAATTCATCAACGAGATCCTTGCTGTGTCTGTGCTACATCATTTTCGTTCAATGTCAATGGGGAACCTCAGGGGTTTGTTAACCCAACAAGGGGTCTAAGGCAAGGAGACCCTCTGTCTCTTACCTCTTCCTTTTAGTTTTTGAGGCTTTGGCAAATCTTATTAACCAAGCTAGGTTCATAGGGGATTTCAAGGCTCTTAGAATAGGTAGGAGAACCCCCATCATTTCCCATCCCTTTTTTGCTGATGGACTCAATCCTTTTTTGTAAGGCAAATAGAGACCATGCTATGCAAGTGTTAGAGATTTTAGGAGAATATGGGAATGACTCAGGGCAGTTGGTCAATTTAAATAAATCCTCTATTTTCTTTTTAAAAAGACCCATGTCTCTAAGTGTAGTGAGATTTGTAGTATCTTAAATGGCATTTCCAGATCAACTCCTCTAGGTACTTAGGACTCTCTCTGGGGATTGGAAAAACAAAGAGAGAATTTTTTCATTTTCTTCATGAAAGAGTGGAAGAAAAGGTTGAGAGTTGGAAGAATGTGTTCTTAAGTGAAGTTGGTAAAGAGACTTTAATCAAATCTGTCCTAGGAGTCATTCATACTTTTGTAATGTCATGCTTTAATGTGCCTATTTCAGTGCTGAATAAGATGTGCAGGGACATGGCTTCTTTCTGGTGGGGAAAAAAGAAAACTGGAAGGAATATGGTTCACTGGGATGCTTGGAGTAACCTTGTTAAATCTAAAGAACTAGAGGAGAGGGTGTTAGGAAAACTCAATTGAATACACCTCTTTAATTTAAAAAGTCTCATAAAGTTGTTATATTTTAAATATCGAGTGCCCTATAAAAATCTCTTATAAAATTATAATTAAATATCTTGAAATTTTCTTAATTTATAAAAAATTTGTTTATAGGTCTTAATTAAATAAATGTACACGTTTTAGAAATCTAAAAAAGATTGCAACTCAGAATTTTAAAATATTTTTAATGAAAGGTAGTCGTTTTAGAAATCTAAAAAGATTGTAACTCAGATTTTTTTTAAAAAAAAATAAAATTAATTGAATACATGGGCAATAAAGCAATAATTAGATAGTGAATCATGCTCGGCCGGCTCTGGTTGAAATTCAAACCATATGTTTGATATACAACTCATGGCGTACAAATAGATGCGTTCAAAATTACAGAACATGTTTGTCGCCACACGGAGCTTTTGGTGAATATTATTGACCCACCTCCTCCTCCTCCTCAATTCTTTCCCCAGCTCTCTCTCTCTCTCTCTCGCCAAACCTCTGTCTTTAGGTTTCTACGATACATCTGAAGGGCGGAGGCTAAAGGTTAGTATTTTATGATCTGCCCTTTTTTCAGGAGTTCCGTCTGCCACATCCATTCCTCGATTTTCTTTTTCATTTTTCCCCTTTTTTTCCGATTTTTTTTCAGCATTAACATTTCGTAGTAAAATTGGAATTTGTTTTGCCGATGCCATGTCTGTTTATTTCGTGTCCACCGTTCTTATCATTTTCGTTTCTTTAATTTTTGCAGGGATTGTCATTTTGAGCCGCATTAGGAGGAGAGAGGGAGAGCCGGAAAGGTATGTTTGCTTTTTTTGTTTTATTTTTTTTAATTCCAGAAGATTTGATTTTTATGCTCTTTTCTCATTGACTCCTCTAGATCCAGAAAAGCAGCTCCATTATTTGGTCCAATTTCATCTAGGTCACTTTCCCAGTTTTCCGAATCACATTCGCATTTAGTTTGCAAGATCTTTAATTGCATCAACATTCCAATCACCATTAATACGCCTCTTTATTTGTTCTCTCTCTCATTATTCTTTCTCTTCTCCTCCAGAGCCTCAAGATTTGCTGGAAAGAAAAAGAAAAAATCAGAATGAGCGAAACAAAATCCACCACGCCCTTGATACCACCCTCCACCTCGCGCAATCTCCCAGATTTCAAACAATCAGTGAAGCTCAAATACGTGAAGCTTGGCTACCATTACCTCATCACCCATGGCATGTACCTTTTCCTATCCCCATTGCTTGTGATAATCGCAGCCCAAATTTCAACCTTCTCCCTTGAAGACCTTCACGTTCTGTGGGACCACTTACGCTTCAACCTCATATCCGTCATTGTCTGCTCGGCCCTTTTAGTCTTTCTCTCAACAGTCTACTTCCTAACCCGGCCCAGGCCCGTTTACCTGGTCAACTTCTCCTGCTACAAGCCCGATCCAGCCCGCAAGTGCAGCCGTCAAATCTTCATGGAGAGATCCAAGCTCACGGGCTCGTTCACGAACGAGAACCTCGAGTTCCAGCGGAAGATTCTAGAACGTTCAGGCTTAGGAGAGTCCACTTACCTTCCGGAAGCTGTCCTCCGAGTCCCGCCAAATCCTTGCATGGCCGAGGCTCGGAAAGAAGCCGAGGCCGTCATGTTTGGTGCCATAGACGAGCTTCTTTCAAAAACCTCGTTGAAGCCGAAAGATATCGGGATCTTGATTGTTAACTGCAGTCTTTTCAACCCGACGCCTTCTTTGTCGGCTATGGTTATTAATCATTACAAGCTGAGGGGGAATATAATCAGCTACAATCTTGGAGGTATGGGGTGTAGTGCTGGCTTGATATCAATCGACCTTGCGAAGGATCTTTTGCAGGTGCACCCGAACACTTACGCTTTGGTCATAAGCATGGAAAATATCACACTTAATTGGTATTTCGGGAATGAGAGATCAATGCTCGTCTCGAATTGTCTTTTTCGAATGGGTGGTGCGGCCATTTTGCTTTCGAACAAGAGATCCGATTATTGGAGGGCTAAATATCGGCTTGTCCACACTGTTCGAACCCATAAAGGCTCGGACGATAAATGCTTCTCGTGCGTGACTCAGTTGGAAGATCCGAATGGAAAAATTGGGGTTTCTTTGTCTAAGGATTTGATGGCAGTAGCTGGGGATGCTTTAAAGACTAACATCACCACTTTAGGCCCGTTAGTCCTGCCAATGTCCGAGCAGCTTCTGTTTTTCGCGACTTTGGTTGGGAAAAAGCTGCTGAAAATGAAGCTGAAGCCTTATATACCCGATTTTAAGCTGGCTTTCGAGCACTTTTGCATTCACGCGGGCGGGAGGGCTGTGCTGGACGAGCTTGAGAAAAATCTGCAGCTTTCGGATTGGCACATGGAGCCTTCGAGGATGACGCTGTATAGATTTGGTAACACGTCGAGTAGTTCACTGTGGTATGAGCTGGCGTATTCGGAAGCTAAGGGGAGGATCAAGAGAGGGGACCGGACATGGCAGATTGCGTTTGGGTCGGGATTTAAGTGCAATAGTGCTGTGTGGAAAGCTCTCAGGACTATAAACCCTGCGAAAGAGAAGAGCCCTTGGATTGATGAGATTGATCAGTTTCCTGTGGAGGTGCCTAAGGTGGCAGCTATTTGATTGGTTGGCAGGGTTAAAGTTGCAGTTTTATGTTTTAACTCGTCTTTTNTATTTATTTGGTTGTCGATCTTTGGGGCCTTAGACGGGAGCCAGGATGAAGGGTTCTTTTGTGGGGTGTTGGAATGTGGTGTTTGTAGGTCTAATTTGTAGCTTTGACGCCATGTGTGGTTTAATTTTCTGTGTGTTGATGGCTGCTCTTCTGGATTACTAAAGAGCCTTTTTGACTGTGAGATTACTGGCTAGGTTTTGTATGTTTTGACTTATTTACAGATTGGCTTTTCTCCATTGGTGCTTAATGTCTATTTTCTCCATTGAAATATATCTTAAAGTTCTCCCATATATGAGTAATTCCTGGTACAAAGTAAAACCCTCTTAGCACAATACTGGTCAAAAAATTTGCAGCGAGAAACTCCACCAAACCGAAGAATAAAGGATCAATTTTACGCAAAATAATACAAAATAGTACCAACAGTAACTAACAAAACTAGAAAATAGACAAATTAAAACATGAAATAGGTGAGTCTTACACTTCACATAAAACAAACACCGAATCCATGTATAACAAGAGTGCTTATGAAATCCATCAGTCAATCGAAAAGCCTCTTCAACTCATAAGTCAGCCAGCTAGATCATCCAATCCACCGATTTTAACTTCTAAACAGTCGCATAATATTAAGGACCAAAAAACAAAAAAAAAAATGGAACCTAGAAGCACTAAATCCACTCAATCACACCACTCTTGCTCCAAAAACCAACGGAGCAAATAAGATTTTCGTTTTCATTAAACTTGTTAATCCTTGGAAGACTTGTTGATGAGGGACTTGTGTATATGCGGTATGACACCACCACCAGCTATGGTTCCTTTGATGAGGGTATCGAGCTCCTCATCACCACGTATAGCCAACTGCAGATGACGTGGCGTTATACGCTTCACCTTCAGATCCTTGCTGGCGTTTCCCGCCAATTCCAGGACCTCCGCTGTTAGGTACTCCAAAATGGCTGCTGAGTAGACGGCTGCTGTGGCCCCCACTCGCCCGTGGGCCATGGCTCGTTCTTTCAGAAGTCGGTGGATACGCCCCACAGGGAACTAACACCAAACAAAACAAACTCATCACTTCTGTTGCCATTATAATAAAGCAAACGAATTCTTCTATTTTTTCTTCTTTTTTTTTTAAAGATATATTACGAAAAACTTGTAAGAATTTAGACCTTATTAAAAGTGAAGCAACATGAAAAGAACAACGAGATGCAGTGAAACAAATGTTTGTCAGAATTGCTAAACATGCTTTGTAATGTGAGCCGATAATACTAGAAAGAGAAGAGGAAACTATTTCTGCTGATTCAAATTTTAGATTTTCAGCACAAGCTCCAAAAACTTCATTGCTTAATAAGAAACAGCACGGAAAGAAAAAATTAATGAAACCATGTTCACTGCTTACCGATTTCCCTTCAATACGTACTTCATTCAAAATATCCATCGACTAGTTCAAGTTTTGTACCGACTAGCTCTAGTTCTGTTGCAAAGATTAATTTAATCACAGGAACTTATTCTACTACCAAGACACGCAAGCATTAGCGAAATGTCTCATGATGTTCTTTAGAAGAATTATATACAGGTTCTCAATAACTATAAGACAAACCGAGCCATCATGAAGAAGAATATAATCTATTTGCCATCATGGGTCAGTTAATCCAAGTACCTATACCAATATCAAAATCCTACTGCACAGTAGGACCATTCCCTGTGATATGATCCAATTGAGTTGCAACTAATAAGGTTATGAAAGATCAACCCCAATATGTTATAATCCTGTGGTACACAGTATAAATATAGAATCACCACTTATTCTTCTTTTTTTCCAGCCATCAAGTATATACTAACTATGAGCCAGCAAAAATTTCACACAAGAATTACCATGTTATGACTCGTCAGTTCCAATAACCAAACAAACAGAGAAGCACCGCCGCGGATAAATAATTGAAAATGAAAAATTTTAAGGGATCACAAAATAGGGGAAGAGAGAGAGAGAACCTGAAGTCCAGCTCGAGAAGAGCGAGAAATTGGCTTCTTCTTGTCCTTATCTTTGTCCTTAGACGCCGGGTTTTTCCCCGTCAACAATCCCTTGGCCCCTTTCCCCGACATTCTACTTCTTTTTCACACAGATCTTATAAAATTATCCAGCAATCGTCGAAATAGGAAATGCCCGAAGTTTCATAGGATACGAAGAAAAAAATAGACACACGACTCGAGAGTGGAGAGTAGTACAGTGTTTGTACTCTGGACTTTGGATTGGGATTTCTTCAAAGGTGTGCATTAATTCTGAGTAGGCCACCGACTTGTCGGGTCGGGTCGGAATAATCTATATTTATATAAAAAAAAATTATATTTACTTTAAATAGTAATTGAAATCCCGTCTAAAAAATTCATTTTTACTTATATTAATAATTTTTTTTTAAAATTAATGGGTCATCGTGTTTTGAAAATTAAATTAAAAAAATCAATTTAAAATTTGTACAAAATCCAATAAGTCAACAATTGCGACTCACGTGTATTTCATAGCATTTGTCTGAGATTTTGGTTAGATTATTTGGTCCAATATTGCTGTTAGAATAAAGGAAAGTATTAAATAAATAAGTTGCGCTGCCGCCAAGCCCTGGCTGTCTGTCACAAATTGCACATGTCGATTCCCATTTTGCCGATCGTCACCGTACAAACCAGTGTTCTAAAAATCGTTAAGCGCCCACTAGACGCTCGACCAACGCCTAGCCCCTAGAGCACCTAGTCGGGGTCTAGAAATCAATATTAAATATCTTATTTTTTTTATTTATTTTAACTACCTACAAAATTAAACTATCTCAACTTATAATAAATCTACACACCTAAGCTTAAATAATAATATTAAAATATTTTAAAGAAAATATGAGAACAAAATAACGTAATTAGTATTTAAAAAAATAAAAAAAAAACTGAAAAATTACCGCCGAGCCCGCTTAGGAGCGCCTAGGTCCGCCTATGCCCGCTTAGGAGCGCCTAGGTCCACCTATGCCCGCCTAGGCGCCGCATGGCTGATTTTTTCGGCCGATTTATGCAAATCGAAAGCGGGCGGGCACCGCCTAGCGCCGCCTAGGCCAATTTTTAGAACAATGGTACGAACCGCTGGTCGCCGCCATCAGCCATCCTTTTAGGCATGCCTCTCAGTCGCCAGCCACGGGAGCTCTGTCTCTTGGTCGCCACCGTAATTTGAATGTTGTACGGAAAGCAAGTTGGAAAAAGGATAAATTAGAGAAAACAAAAAGAAGAAAGTAGGAAAAAGAGATGATTTCTTAGTCGTTAAAAAAAATTGCCAGTGGCAGATTTTTGAGTTGTGGCCTTGAGGCATGTGAAGAAACGAATGCAGCGCCACTTTCGAGCAGAAGCAGTTTTCTTGGCTCATCGAAAGGCGACAGCAACTAGTGGAAGATCTATCGAGCACCTCGGAGACGAGCGACTGCGGCTGCGTAGTTGGTGAGTGTCTCGGATGGGATGCATGGTTCAGAGACGAAAGAAAGCTGATGTGGCAGCTTTCCGCCAACGGAGGTTAAGTTCGTGTATCAAGTTGCCAAGAAACCAAATGTGATGTATTAAACTGCCAATGTCTAAATGATGATTTGACTTCTGTCTGTTGAGTCAAACTTCTGCATGTTGTGTCCATTAAAAAAAATCGTCACGTCAACTTCCCGTCGACGGACGTTAAATCCGTGTATTGGGTTGCCAAGAAACCTAAGGTAATGTATCAAATTGCCAAGGTCTAAAGGTGCTGATTAAATGACCAATCGACTAAAGGTGGTGTATTTTCCTGCCAATTGGCATAAGAATATAGCGCTTACGAACATCGGCTGTGGTGACAGTGCAGCTGAATCGGTAGCTGAGACGTGTCCCTGGCTGCAGCGCGACGCCTAGGACTCCTTGATCGAGAGCGGTGTCTCGATTTCGGGCGTATGACTGCACCTCTGGACAATGGTCGTGGTTTGCGCACGATTTAATGTTCAAGAGTCTCTAGAATATTTTTGAGACTACATGTGTGGAAAGGGAAGGGTTTGGTGGCAGGGGCGGAGCCTTATAGGGCCCAGTGTGGGCCTAGGTTCACACTAAAAAAAAAAATACTATGTTATAAATTCTACTCAAAAAATAGTTTAGTACTCAATTAATAAAATAAAAATAAATAAAAAAAATAGGAACACAAATAAGGGAAAGAAAAAAGAGATAATGGGAAAAAAAATCATTGTTCTTATTTATTTTGGTGAAAGTAAATCTAGTCATTTTTTTATTAGATTTGATCTAAAAATTAAAAATTTAAACTTGTAGTTAATTGAATGTTGTTTCTTAAGAGACTATTAACATATTTAAATTTATGTGTGACTGATAAATTGTAGGGTTCTTAAAAGTTTGATATAATAGATAAAAAAATTTATACATTATAATTTATTTTTTATATCAAATTATGCAGAAAATATTTTTATAAATAGTCTTGACAAAGCATGTGAAAATATTTTAAAATTAGCTATTTTTATTCCAAATATACTTGAGGTGAATAAATATTGTTAGGCCGAAAGAAGATATAAAAAATCTTATTGTAAAGTCATACCAAGCTATAAAAACTTATAAAATTTTCTATGAATGTGTATTTTGTATTTATACTTTATTGTGATGTATTATATTTGTTGTTTAAAAATAAATAGGCCCTCACTCATATTATGTGCTGGATCCGCCCCTGTTTGGTGGCAATGTGAGGAAGATGAAGGGGCATGAATATCAAGGGGGTGTTGGGCAGTGTAATATATTTAAAAGGGAAGAAGAGAGTTTTGAATAGGGTAAGAGATTGATATTTATACCTATGCGTGTACAAGTAGGTTAATTTTAGGGTTGTCTAGATTCAATGTATTTAGAATAAATTATTTTTATATTTTTAATTAATTTTAAAAAAATATAAATTGATGAGTAAAACTATTTGAGTCTAAAATTTATATTTCAAAATATTTAAATATTATTCTTGGATTTTTAGATAATTGTATTACAAAACAAATTGTATAAATGATATTATGCCCAAAACACTTTTTGAAAGATTTAAATTATTCATTTGGCTAAAAGATAATTTCTTATACATTTTAATTGATCGTACCGCTACCAGGACCATTTAAAAAATAAATGGGAACTACTTAAGGGTATAAAAAGAAATAAGACACTCGTGCTACAAATTTCAAATTCAACAATATAATAATTTAACCTCAAGTTTTACATGAATTAACAATGCCAGCTTCTCAAATATGCTGAAGAACAATCAATATCAGTCCAATATTCCAATTTAATTGAACCTGCACATAAAATGACACATCAGTATATTAGTTTGAAAAAACATTTAAAAACAAATAAAGCAAAGTTACAAGACAATTATATTTTTGTAATATATATTAATAATGAAATATTGTAGACATAAATTAACAAAAGTATATTATTTTATAAGTTAAATTTTTTATTTGTTTTTGAAATGTATGATATATAAATGGGTCCCCATAAGAATAGTTGACAATGAAAAGAAATAAGAATGAATAATAATTATATGTCTAATACAATCAACGACAAAAAATGAGCTAATATTATACAGTAATAAAGGACATACTAGAATTCCCTAAATGAGCTAATATTATACAGTAATAAAGGACATACTAGAATTCCCTCTCCATCATAAATCTCTCTCTCTCACACAACTCTCACTACACATAGTTTATATATATATTTGGAATATTCGAATGACTACGGTATGTATTCATTGATGAACACTATTTTGGATATTAATTGTCAACATTTTGACTTTTGAACATTAATGCATATCAAAAGACTCTTATCTATCTATCTATCTATATATAATTGCTAGCCTTTCATTTAATTTTACCTCATAAATAAAACCTAATAAATTTTATCTAATAAATAATCCAAACTTTCCAAATACAAAAACCGTTACTTTTACAAAATACATCACTTTTGGACAGTTAATATGCTAACTTAATTACGAATTATTTATTATTGAAATTCATGATTACATAAGCATGTATTCAGAATATAATTTTTTAAAAAAATTTTTTATAAATGTTTATTTGGAATATTTATTATTTTTGATGATATCACTACAATAATTAATCATGGTGAAAATGAAAAATACAGCACATGTACAACATGCACAAATACACTAACAACAATACAAAATAATTTCACCACCTATGAAAATTGTATCATATAATAGTTATTATTACAATTAATAATTATATTTTACACTAAATGATATGTGAAAGTTACATAAACATAAGAAACTATATTGTAAAAACTTTTTGTTCGAGTAATTTATTATAAAATCAATATAATATTTTTATATCTGCTTAAGCGATTACTTTTTAAATAAATTAATTTTTTTTAATGGTATAGTAAAATTTCTTTAAATCGCATAAGCAATTGTTATAATAAATTTAATATTTTTTAGCTAATTAATTAGTCATAGTCCCTTAAAATTTTAAAAAATACATTATTTATTTTATTTTATGTAATCAATATAGTGATTCATATACAATAAAATCGTTATGTACTATTTATTTTAACCAATAATTAAATTCTAAAATATAATACCTTTATCTAACTTATAATTTTAATATTATATGCATAAATAACTTATAATTCCCTATGTTTAAAATATAATATCATTATCTAACTTATAATTTTAATATTATATGCATACAAATAACTTATAATATTTTATTTACATCTGTGCAAATGCACAAGATCAAATACTAGTGTAAATTAATTTGAGAATGTATATCTATGAACCAAATGTACATTTTTGCTGCCCGATGCATCCGTGATGCTGGTAGGTCTAGGCTAGTTTGAGAGAAATATCCATTTTGCCCTTTGATATAGTATAATATTTTATTTGGACGTCTACTCGATATAAAGCCTTCAAAAACTTTACTTAAAAAAAAAATTAATTTTCACGGTGGAATTTACTCCATGTGTTTCTGCTCAAAAGATATGGTTGACAGCAGGCTTCCATTAAAAAAGGACCACAAAAATAAAGAGAAAAAGAGAATTAGAAAAGTAGTGGAAAAATAACTCACTGTTCATACTGGATGTTGACGAGGGGAATTGGGCCCGCCACAATGGCGTCGAAAGCCGTAGTGGACAAGACGAGGTTTGCCCCATCCAGGGGCCGTGAGACCGAGGTCAGTGCCCGATCCACTATCCTCACTTGGATCGTCTGGTTGGGGTGACACGCCGGCGGCAAAAAGGAGCTGATGCACTC